GGAACTATTACATGCATTCAAATTGTCTATCAAAACCTAACTGCTAATTAAGAACAAAAATGACTGTGAAATTGCAATATAGGCTCCATTTAATTTTACTGGGAATTCCAGGCCTTTACTGTCAGGAAAGTAACACCTCTCATCAGCTCCTTAGACACCAAAATGAGTCACCTCTCGTCCTTTGGTTTTTCCAATTAATCATGTGGACTGTTTTCATACACTCGCCAATGATTAACTGTAATTGAATGTTTTGTGGGTTTGTTTGGTTGTACTACACAGAATTTAGCAAATATGTCATAGTGCTAGAGAGGAGCTCTTCCCCCCCTCCCCCTGCTATTGCTTGATGCTTTTTATACAAAAGTACAGTTTAATATTTGCTGTGAAAGGCTTCAGTAATAAATGAGAATCCCAAGTTGGTCTGGGTATATACTCAGGACCAGAAATATCACTTGATTTCTCCTTTGTTCAGGTTGTGCTGGCAATTACGACAAGCAGCACGGTTGATTTAAGTGTTCTATGCCATCAAAATGTAGAATGAAAAACAATGACATCTGGGATTTTTCTTCTAATACAAACTTAATTATTAATCAAAGCTATGACACACTAAACATTGGCAAATGGCTCAAGAGCATCAGGAATTTATTTTTCTCAGTGGAGTCTTTAGAAGTCTTTTAATAACCAGACACCAGGACTAATTTACATCTGTGCAGCCCCTAGTTAGATTTTTGACCTAATAACAGTTTGTAACATTCACGTGTAAGGCAGTTTTTTGGGGGATGAGGGGAAGGGTGAAAATAACCAGCGAACAAGAGTTTGAAAAATGTATCCTGCTTTCACCACAATTCCAGGTCTTTCAGTTCCTGCTCTCACAGTTATACAGATTTTTAATGAAGACTGCATAATTGTCCAATATTTGGGATAAGAAATTATTTTATTTAAACCTAAATAAACTACCATGCAAACAATAGATCCATCTATTAATCATAAATTCTTCTACTGAGTCTAATTATTTGCACCAATCTCGATGCTAGTTCCTGCAATATAGGCAAGTTACCAACGAGTGAAAGTTTATTTTATATGCACTGAGCAGTTTTTATTTAAAAAACCCCAAACAATCTACAGGTCTGTAGCACTGTGGTAGCTATTTTTCCCATTCCTTTTTCAAGTATAGCACAGTGATTACATGTACCAGATGGCAACATTTCATGCACATTGATCTGGACTACCTCTGAAATAGCAAGTGAATGTTAATGAGGGGTAGCTGAATTGCTGAACTGCTTCTCTGTATGTCCCTATGTTTTAAACATGGTTTCTTATTTTGTGACTGATGGTCTTGCTAAGAGGACCAGGGTATCACACAGTGTGCATTTCTGTACTTAGATAACGTGAGCTGAATTTCACTGATAGAGGAAATCAGATCTGTATCAGACAACTGTGGCTTAGAACAAGACTAATCTACAATTCTTCTCAAACTTTCAATGATTAGATTTTATTTTTCCAACTAACTCTTGCAGTTTCAACAGCTACAAAGAAATATGCACGCCCCATAGAAAATACAAATACTAGTATTTTACATACTTGTAGTGTATTTTCCTCAGGAATCAAAAAAGCAGATTTTCAGCTTATTTCACCTTACCTAGTAAACTGTAACTATGATTAGACCTGTCTGATTTGAACATGAACTTAAATCCACTGCAAAGAACCCGTAACTCCAACCCTCAGTGTTCTTCTGTCAGAGTCAATGAGAAAAGCTAATTTGAGAGCAAGTAAATGAAAGGGAGGAAGGAATTTGATGCTCTACACACACATCCATGTAGCTCTGAAAAGAATGTTCACAAACAGCATCAGGGCAACACAACTGCAAGCGAGCATGCATGCTGTAAATACAATTAAAAGAATATTGCAAACTGGCCTGCGGTAAATACAAGAAAATAATTTTTCTGTGCATTGAAATGCTTGGAAAAGAAAGATTTGAAGTAGTAACAAATAAGTGACTGGATTTCTCCCCTCTGACGCAATTCCCCCAGCACCTCCCCACTTTAAAGGGACCAAGTTTCTAGAATAGTAGTATTTGCACACATTCTATTTATTATCCTTTCTCTAAACTGTCTCCTGCAGGACTGCCTGCCTCAGCTTAGGAGGAACTGAATGCTTCCTAGCACTACTATCATCTCCACTCACCTTCAGGTATCTGTAAGGGCTCTCCTGCTACTCTCTCCAACCTCAATCTATTCATCTTTCTTCATTATCCCGTTGCCTGCCATCTCTTCTCCACTAAAACTTAACCACAGCTCAGTGCTCTCACCTTCCTCAGCCTCACTGGTTCTTATTCTCTTTTCCCGTTCTTAGAAGAACAAAATCTCTTTTGTGGTAAGTTTTTCTACAAAAGTTACAAATGAAACAATACTCTGTGCTCTTAAATGTTGAAAAATGTCCACAGATGTAGGTCCAACAAATGCCTCATAAAGGATCAGCAATATTCAATCAGATACTGAATGACAGATGAAGCACAGAAAGAGATAAGGGTGCTTTATAAGACAACATCTCATCTGGTTACTGGCACTGGAGTGTTAGAGGCAGATTAAATTGCACAGGGTGCCACATGACGCATCTGCTGCCCATTTTTTTAAAAGGAAAAAAACCCCAAACTACATGTGACAATATACACAGTCTGAGTCAATGATGCAGCATTTAATATAGCTAAATCATGTTGGGAAATGCAGGTGCATGGACGCTTGTATCCATGCAGCCTTTGGTGCACTAGGTGTTTACTTATATAAGCATTACAAACAAAAGGATTTTAACAGTAGAATAAAGGCTTTTCAGTGCCTAATCTCAATTTACAAAGACCTAAATTCTGTTTAAATCAATTAAAGCTGGATCAGACCACGGTGAAAATGCACTGCAGGAAAACTTGCTGCTACAACAAAAACACCCACTTCAGCAAGACAATCAATTCTCCTCCTCTTAATGTATTTCATCTGCAGTAAAAACTAGTACTCCATATGAATCTGAAAGGCAAGTATTTCACATACTTACATAGATTGATACGTATCTACAGCTATATCAAAAAGGATATGAATAACTCCTTCATCAACTCTGCAGACGGAAGTTTGCAGTTGATCTTCCAGATGCACCAATTTCTCACTTATTGCTTCACATTTTTCTCCCAACTCTGCGGAAAATATGAAGAACTCCTGCAGGAAGTTGAGAAGAAAAGATGTTTGCTGCAGACTGCACTTTTCTATATCAAATTTGCATGAAATTAAGGGGAAAATAAAATATTAGCAAGGAGATATGATACTTTGTAGTGTTAAGACATTGCCTAAAAGCAAATTCCCATTAGAGAGACAAAAAGTTGTTACTATATAATAATTTGGTGATTTATACAAAATGGAATGAGCTTGTGGTCTCAGTCTATTTCCCAGAAGAAAAAAGTCATGATCTCACTTTCAGCAGCGGATTAAAGGCGTGTGAAGTCTGAACGGCTCTCCCTCTTCCTTGTTGTCTCACCACAGCAGGGGAGGGAAATCTCATGCTGACTACACCATTTAGGTTCCTAAATTTCAAGTTGTTCATATAAATATGATTTACACATTTAGGCCTTTTAAATATTTCAAGAAGCATCACTTTCGGTATCTTTTATAAACACAAAACGTACTTACTTTTTGGAGGAAAAATCTGGCTAGAATACTTAGGGACTTTGGTCAACTGATCAGAGAAAATGCATCAAAGTCTTCAAGATGACAAGATGAAACTACACTTTTTTTATTGTGTTATCATGAAACAAGACTATATTTTCAAAAACAATGGTTCTCTACTTAGAACTTATACAGACAAATGCCTTTTCTATTTTAAACTATTTTAAACCAGTTGCAAAGTTCTTCCCATAAGTTTGTTTGCTTTCACGTGTACTACACAAGGGTAACTTGTATCTTTCATATCTTATATTGACTATTACTTTAAGAAATGACCCAAATAAGCAGCGAATCTGAGGAGGGATTGTGCAGCACTGAGACAAGCCTCTCCTCTCCCTCCCAAGACACCACGGTGCTGTCTACAGTGAACGACGGGGGTTTTCTGTAAGGAAAAGATTATGGTGCCAAGATGAAGCTGTGCTGGAGCTATGTTGAAAAAAATGGAGTCATTCATCAGCTGGAATCCAGACAAGTGGATTTTCTCTAGACCTAAGTACATGCACTCATCTATATAGCCAGCTGCACATGTGGCCATACACAATCTTCAGAGAGTTGTTCTCCTTTAAAAAAGTGCTTGGAGTCCTTTGCGCTGATCTGTTGCTGTAATAGCAGCCATCAGTGGTTGTTTAAAAGAAATCAAGCCTTCAATCAAAGGACTTCCAAAGAAATCATGCTAATACTTGTTGGAACGCTGCCCACTATGAAACAATCTGATTTTCGGTAAACACATTTACCAGACCTCAGTTCTGTGCTATCCTTACACTTTGTGTCATACAGTGCATACACAGTCAAATGTCAGAAGAGCTCTGCTTGCTGGCACGTCCTCAGTTGCAGCACAGAGTTTCTGCCTTCCGAGGTCTTCTGCCAGGCGTGGCTATTCAGCAGATCGCACAGGTTCGCAACCAGCTGCAGCTCGAACCTACATGAGTGAGCTGGAGAGAACTTATGCTGCAAAGGCCCATGGCTTAGACACAGCGAAGCACAACCTGAGAACCAACTGGCTGAGTCCCCGGCTCTGTGCACGAGACCTGAGCAGCCATCTTCCATCATTACCAAAAGCAGAATCTACAGCAGCACTCCACAGAATTTATAGACATAAAAATGACCCATTGTTTTTAAAATGAGAACAGGGGAGGAGAAGGTGGTACATGTTCTCCCTACGGCAAGTAGGAATGTCCTTTTCTCAAGACCAGGGACAGAAGTCTTCCATCCAGCTGCTAAATCATTATTCAGTACACCAGCAGGACTCCATATGCTGTTAGGGAGTGGGATAACCCAGGCAATTTATATCAATAGAAAGCTTTTAGGGAATCATTCTGTGACATGCATGCAAGAACAGATGACAGTTGTCTGAAAGAACTTAGGTCTCAGGCTAGAAAAGTAAGTAAACTGAAAAAACCTAATACTCTGAAAGTACATCTAAAATGAGGACCATCTCGAGAAAGCTCCACCTCTGAACACTGATTTTTCTCAAACAGTTAATTACACTTAAGACAATCAGGTCTTCACATAACCATCATCTCAAATGCAAGAAAAACAAGACAAAAAACATTCAGCACTATATAATTATTGAACAATTAATTTGGGAAGAACAGCTTTTAATTAGTGCACAAACTCCTGAGTATTGCTCTGACAAAAGCCATAAGTGAAGTTTCCAAACCAGACTCTTTCTACAGTCTGTCTACTTGACAAAATGAATTAGTCCCGTACAGATCCTGAAGAATGAGTATCCTATAGCAACACAGAAAAAGCAGATTCTTGCTCTTAAACATCAATATATTGAATACTTTAGTCTGATCCAGTCACTGCTTCTATCAAGAACCATGACTAGAGAAGATTTTGAATCACATTCATGCTGTCAAGAAGGATGACACTTCTAGTCCTGTTTTGAAACCATCGGTTACTACAGACAGCAAACAGAAAAAAGTTACAGTAAGTTACAGAAAAAAAAAGTTACAGAAAAATGTTACAGTAGACTCCTGAATACCTGTGCTATTAAGTATATTTAAATATAAAAAGCATTATAAAGACATGCATTACAGTAGGGTATCCCTTTCTCTTTTAGGGTACTGTTGATGGCAGGAACATTTATCCAGATAATCGGTCACCCAATTAGCACTATCATTAGTTGCTGCAAGAAAAGATCAATTTCCTCCACTTTAGAACTGCCCTCACGCCTCCTGTCTCCTATGTGCACATACAAGGAGTTCACTGGGCAGCTAATGTCAATGATGAGCACGCTGGCTGGATTTGTCTAGCCCTGCTGTGAAGATCCACAGCAAAATATTTTTCCCTGTTCACTGTGTCAGTGAATGTACAGGGCAAAACGGGCCTTTGAGCCCTACCCCCTCACGGAACTTCAGGTGGTTTGAAAGATGCTGGAGGCAGCGTTTAGGTACCTGGTTGGCAAAAGAGGCTCCAAGTTGCAAGCGTGGCCTCGCTCTAACGTGCGCAGATCCTGAAAACCCAGAGAACAAGCCCCTAAGACCCTAGGGCTTCAGGTGAACGCTCGTTCTGTAGCAAAGGCCTCTCACGGTGCTTTGCATCGGTACTAATCTGTATTTTGGGGTTCTAAGCTTTGGCTACCCCACTGCAGTTCCAGGCAAGGACTTTATTGGTGCATTGGTCTTGCACTAAACATCATTAGAAATAAGAGACTATTGTTTTTAACTCACTAGCTTTCATTCCCTTGTCAACTGAAGGTTAGATTCTTACTTAGATTCTCGCTTAAAGTAAAACATCCATTTTATCTCATGTGAAAAAAATACACTGTATTCTTCCTGAATGATCACATTCTGAGCACATAATGAATTGTCTAATAATGTAACAAAAATCCTGTTTATCTTGGAAATGAAGATAAATGAATAATAAGTACTAGGGAAATATGCTCAATGGACAATTGTTACAACAATACCGGAAGGGAGGGAAATCTGAGTTAAGTAAAAATCAGATCAAACTAGTTTAGGTCTTTAAACACTGGAAACCCATCTAATCATAACTGTATGGTTATGATTATGGTTGCGCTGCAGTTGTAACTGAAATATCTCCATAAAGGTAGGGGTTACAGCCTATTAATCATAAACTCCTAACAGGTATTTCACAGCTTAATTCCTCTTTAATACAGCAATAATAGTGTGCAGATAAACTATTTTTGCACCTACAGGACACAGCTGTCTTTTTAGTTGAAATGAAAAGTTCCTCCATAGTTTAGACAAGCATCGTTTCTCAGAAACATACTTGCAGGCATCACATGAAAAATGCAGGAGAGTCATCAAATAAATTATGATTTTCCAGAACATGTATATATGGTCTTTCTTATTTTGGATTGGAAAGATGTGGTCACACAGAGAATTCTAACTTTAGTTTAGCATCAAGAAGAGTTTTAAATGAAATGGGAAAAAAAGTATACTGCTCTCAAAAATATACAAGAATAATTCCAAATATTCAACCAATTCCACAGCTTCTGCCTCCAGGCCCTCTTTTCAAAAGAAGTTTGATAGCCCAGAGAAGTAGATAGGAAAGATTTGTCTTAGTGCCTTTCATGCCTAGTAAGGTCACTGGTAACATTTTTATTTGACATTTGTCTATGTAGGCAGGGAAACTGCTGTCAGTTCCACACAAACTATTCAGAACAGCTCCAGGTTGGAAAGTGGCACTTTACACTGATCAACAATATCTCTGAGAGGAGAGTGGACTCTGCCTCCAGCTCAACATATTAATAAAATACAACTCATCCAAGCTTGTAGGTTATGTGAATGCTACAAGCTACTGTAAGTCTTAAGACTCCTTTGGTTATTTTTGCATTAACAGCACTTTTAGGAAGCAGCTAGGAGAGATTGCAGGAATCAGGAAAGAGCTGAGATGCAATATTGCTTTATGGATTTTTCTATGAACAGGGGATGTAGCTGGCTGGGATTTATTCTGCCCACCCCCACATCCTTAAGCAGGTGAAAACAGCACAAATGTGGGTGTGATTTGTTTTTTTAAGGTGAAATTCTTTTGGCTTCTCATGCAAAGCAGAAATTCTCATTCTCTCCCAGAGATGTGAGAGTCTGATGAAAGAAACAGGAAGAACAGACAATGTTCCAGCAGATGCACAGCTGGAGCATCAGCATATTGAATTAAGAGCCGAGGGAACGGCTTCCACTTCAGTCTTCCGCATTTCATTCTACCCTTTTACAAGTCATTTTAGTCACCTATGAGCACCAGCTCCTCGACAGCATTACTCAAGGAAAATGTTTGATCAGCTTTTCCAGTGCAAACACCTTCCAATGCGCTCTTGGATCTGGTTCAGCAATTTTATATAGAAGAATCAGTATTGTGGTAGCTAGATTAATCTAACTCTATTAAGGATTAAGAGTCCTATTAGAGTCTTTGGTGGTTGTGCTGAGAAGCAGGATTCCCAGATATATCCTTAAAATTAATTCTTCCTACAGAGCAACCTTGGTAAAAAGCCGTTGCCTTACTTCCAACTAGCGACATCATAACCCCAATAAGAA